AAGGCCTTCACCAGGTATAAACTCCTGCAGAACACAATTTCTAGTCAGAAAGAACAAGGAGCAGAACAGCTCTCACGCTAGCAAGTAATTTTTAAAACAAAGAATTGACAAACACTCAGAAGATAAAATCTAAAATGAGAAGGTATTCTCTAAGTTTCATCCACTTAATGCATTTTACAACAAAGGTTATTTCCAAATTAAAAGTCTTTTCCTGTCAAATTCTGAGAAATACTGTGGGCAAGGACACAAAAGCATTCCACAGCTGTATTAACGACAAGGCTCACTGATCTGTGAATAACCTGAAAAAAATGAAGATTATTGAGTTACTTTACCAATCTATCCATCCATCACAAGTGAACAGGTCTCAGAATGATGGATTATCTCACTTCCCTCATGTTTATCCCAAGAGTTTCTCCTTAGAGGGAAAAACAAACAACTGTTCCTACAAACAATCCTGCTAACTCTGCTTGCCCATTTTGCATTCATCTGCCAACAAAGTGAGAAGAAATATATCAAGTTTGTCTTTAAAGGCCAAACTACATTTGAAGTTTTATTATTTCCCTGAAATGCAAGTGAAAACAATGAAGAGGAAAGCAGCACTGCAGCTACTGGTACTATTCAGTATTTTAGTACAACTCAAGGAATAGTGATAAGTTGTCAGTAATTCCAATTACATGTTCTGATCCAAAGAAATTGAATAATTATAAGTGATAAGAGATAAATATGAAAATTAAGTATTTTGAAATGGAGGACTGAACTCATATCTCACTATGATTTTTAAATCACCTGAGATTGTTTCACATGTGCTGACACTCAAATCTGTCACACCTGATTGCCACCAGGAATTCACATTGATTGAATTTCTCATTAATTTCTCATTAACATGCTAAATCATACAATTTACACACAGAAAAGTTCTGCATCTTGCTAACATGCAGAAACATAATACTCATGCATAGATTTGCTGAAAAACATGGTGTGCCCAATTTTTAATAAATTACTGCAGTCAGGTTTCCTGAAGTCCAGTCTTGATTTCAGACCACTAAAAACTTCCTAGATTGTAACAGGGACATAATTGGGAATTTTAAAGGACCTGAGACTACCCCAGAAGCCCTGACATCTGCAGCAGGTAATAGTGCACATGTAAAGGTAAAACTGACTATTCATTTTTAAATATACACAGGAACCCTCAGAATCAATCACTCTATCCATCTTATCTCAGCCTGGCCTCTTAATCTTCCTGTAAATATGGGCACTGAAAGAGATGGAACTGTCTTAATCAGATCTTTCCTCCATCACTAAATTACTGCTGTCACTGTCACGGAGACAGAAATTACAATTTCAGCCAGAATCTGTAGGAACTCCTACAAAGGGTGACACTGCCCACCAAATACACAATGGGAAAGCTGCAGGTCTGTTTATAGGAAATGTACATTATTAACCAACTTCCCATGAGAGTCAGGGACTCACCAACTCCTCTGGCCAAGCAGCCAAGGATTATTACAGCGACTTTAGACGGTCACTGTGGTGAGAGAAGGACGAGAATTTTGTTCTTTGATTAGAAGGCTTGATTTATTTATATAAGACATATAGTACATTATAACTATACTAAAAAGAAAAAGAAGAGAAGTTGCAGAGAGCTGCTCAGCAAAGAATAGAATAGAAAGAATGAATAACAAAGTTCTGTGTGCAGGGAATCTGTCCCTGAGCTGCTCCTGTGACTGGCCTTTAATGGTACACATGGAAGATGAACCAATCACAGGGACACTGCTACATTTCACAGCAGCTGATAACAATTGTTTACATTCTTCTTCTGGGGCTCTGCTTCCCAGAAGATGGACAAATGTGAAAGAAAAGATTTCTATGAAAAAATGTCTGTGACAAAGGATATTCCAGCACCTACTGCCATCTGTCAGCTTTTGGGTAATTGTGTCTTGCTTATCCAAAGAAGAGAGAACGTGTCCCGTGGAACCTTTGTGATATGACACAGGGGACAGTCACCAGTTCCCTCTGAAAGTTCACATGGGGAAAAACTACTGCTTCTAGAAAGTCAATTCCATTTGCATGTCCATATTTGCATGAGTCCAGAGGAAAGGATCTGAAACCAAACTGAAGTGAAACTCTGCCTGCTCTGCCCCAGTTCAGTGTGCTCACAAAGCAAACAGCAGCAGATGTAAAAGCTTGTTTGGGTTTTCCTCAAGAATGAGATATTATTATATTCACTTGTACTTAACATCAGACTATTGCTACATCATTAGAAAGGAGAGTCAGAACAGTTTTGTATCAAAGGAAGCTGTTAAGGGCCAGTAAAAGTTTTGGGTTTTTTTGTCAGCTCAGGAGAGCAGGAGGCTCCCAATGACCTTCCTTGTTCCACAACTGCAGCTATGGAGACAGAAACCTCCCATCTGTACCTCACCACACTGGGATGTACATTACAGCGATATAAAAGTTTCATTTTCTCTCCTAAACCATCCCTGCTTAAACCAATAAAGAAGGAAGAGGCTTCTGCTCGCTGGAGTGTCGTCAGCAGCTCCAAAAGGTTGTGGTGTTTATGCAGGACTCATTTGGGATGCAAGGATGTGACTTCCAAATGTCTTTGACTCATTCCCATCAATATGCATGTGTGCCATTTATAACAGTAGCCTTGATGAGAACACACAGTGTAACTGGCTGCAAGAAACGCTTAAGAGGTTTACATTAAAGCAGAATATAGAGCAGTGGTTAGAAATCACAGGCCAGGTGACACCTTCCCCTGATAAGCTGGTGATAAAAGCTGCAGCCTGTGATCTATAGGCTCTGCTGCTGCCTCCTCACTCCACAGCCCCAGCAGCATTCTTCACATACGGCTCACTCTGAGCAAGACACAATCCTGAGGGCACAACACCTTTAAAAATTGTGATTAATCTCACAAAATATTATGGTTGCCTCTTAAATTGTTCACTTAAAAAGAACAGATAATGTTTAAAAAGTTTTGTATTAGAATGTTTGCAATACAAACCTTTTAAAGTGTAATTACTTTTTGGTTTGACAGATTAATTTGCTCCATCCAGTAAAATACCCTCTTTGTTGTAGAAGTTATACATTTTAACAAAAAAAACTCTAAAATGCAGCAACCAGTGATCTGAAATAGAAAGTTCAGGCCGTTTGAAGAACTCCTGTCATCACAGAATGATTTTCTGATAAGTTTATAATACTTCTAGACACCTCTACTGCTGACTTGAAATATACTGCTGTTACAGATCAGAAAACTGCATGTGCTGGTTATTAAATAAAAAAATTAAGCCAAAGGGATTTTGAGAATGCAAGAAAAATTACACGGATAAGAATCTACAGAGGAAAAAAAGCAAGCAAAATTTTAATTTTAATTATTAAATTTACTATTTCCCCCAGTTATTTGAAGCCAAGGAAGGTTGAACTGCCAAAATTGTACTACTTCAATGGCTCTGATAACATTGTGATTTATTAATCTCTGGTCACATACAGATACCTGGCCTCACATGAAATCCTATAAAGACACAAAGACATCCATAAAATCCAGAAACACAAGTTCTGTTGCATGACTGTATGCAGAGTAGTTACCTAACCCTAATTCTCACAAATTATCTGTCCAATCCCCTAATTACACAGGTCTGCACTTTAAATCTCCATTTAAATACAGCTCAAGGAGCAGATGAAAGGTACTCACAAAAGATGGTAGCAAATAACATTTCTATTCAATGGAGCACAATTATTCCAGAATGTTTCTATCAACACATAACTGCATCCATCCTTTACCCAGCCCAGCAGGACCAAGCTGCTAAGGCCATTCCTCTGGCAGTAATTTAGGGACTGCTCTGGAGAAGAGGAATGGAATCCATCACAGAGACAAACAGGAACACCCAACAACCTGCTGTAAACCACAATTTCATAGTAGCACACATGTAAAAAGCAGAACTTGTCCAGCACCAAACAAAGCAGGTAAGACCCTGCACTGCTATTTAAGGGACTGATGTACAAATATATCACTCAGACAAACTGGCCTCACCAGGCAAAGCTGCTTTTTTTAAACAGAGCTAATGTTTACTTTAGACCTCCAGGTTACCACATTAAACCCACATTGAGCAGATGGAAAGGCTGCTTGCCAGCAAAAGCAAAGATGAAAAAAAACCCCTCAGCCTTTTAAAAGGCAGTTGAACTGTTGGAAACAACTGAAATGAAAACCACCCACCCTCTGCCCCCAAAAGCACCAAGCACCAGCTCTGTGCCAGAACCACGGGCAGGGACACCTCAGGAGCCAGGGCAGGGACTGCACTGCCACTGCCACTCAAGGGGATCTTGGGCTATCCTGGGCTCTTTGTTTTTCTTGCTTTCCAAGGCTCAAGGAGTGGAGAACACGTGGCTGCTGTTTGGGATGTCAGAAGGCAGCAGTGGCTCAGTGAGACAGAGCTGCATGGGATCTCCTCTGCTGCTCAGTTCATAGGAGCTGGAACCTTCAGTCTAGAGAGAGCTACAGAATAATGTCATGATTTCACAGCAACTGCCCTGTTTGTCTAGGACTCTGTGATGTAGAAAGGTTTGTTTTAAATGTAATTGTAAACTGGATACATGGCACTATTCTTCTCTTTCAGAACAATCCAGTTCATTATTAAATATATACCTGTGAATGGTAGATGAATTCTCAGCATTAATTAATAACACAAATTGACAACATGGATCTTCCTGCAGCTTTAGGGAAAACTCACATACAAAATTTTTAACCTACTAAAATGCACAGTCACCCTTTTGGACAGAGATCCCTGAGTCTCCTCTGTCAGATTTAAAAAGGGGCAGCTACATATGGGTTAAATGATGGCTTTGTCATTTCCTAGCCCTTATTAACTTACAGCAGCCACCACAGCCAGCAGCTACTACAAGGTGCATTTGTAAAACAATGAAAAATGTTGGAAAGTGTCCTAGTGAGTGCCAGCTCTTACATGACAAGGGGTTCCTGTTTGGGATGTGTGTGGGTGAGCGAGGCTTACCTGCAGAAGCACTGGGGGATCTCTCCCTGCCCGTACAGAGGGAACAGGAACGGGGTGTTGCCGTAGCGGCCAAGGCACTGCAGGAATTTTTTTGTTGCCTGAAGCCCTTCCAGAGTGCTGCTGTCAGTCTCTGCCACCATTGCAATGGAGTGAAGGATGAAGTGCTGCAGGCTGGGGGTCAGCTTCCGTGTCTGCAGGAACTCAGCAAACGTGCTGGACTCGTGCTCTGAGGGAAAAGCACACGAGGCACTGAGCACACTCCAACATCTGCACTTCAGCTCAGACAAGTGCTCTGGATTCCAGTCAACAAGAGCAAGTGAGTTTTTCAACAAAATCCTTACTGAAAATGGATCACACAATCAATGAAAGTTAGATAAATACTCCCAGAAAGTGAGTTCTCAGAAAACAAATAGCACTCCATTAAAATATTTCAAAATATCACAAATTCACTTTATGGGTCTCCAATGCCATCACCTATTCATTGCTAGACTTGATCTTACTCCATTTCCCAGCCCTGAGAGAAAAGTGACAAACTGTGGACTAAACTCCACTGAAGTGCCATGGGATGCTGTTCCTGTAAATGACCCAAAATACCACCCCAGATTCCAGCCCCTCCAGAGCAGCACTGCTGCACCCACACTGCCAAGCCAGACTGGGTATCTGTGCTCAGAGCAGCCCTCACACACTGCCACAACCCAGAGATGACAAGGGGCAATATTTATTTCAATTTGATCACTTGCTGGCAACAAACAAATGTGGATGAGACAGAGAGCAGAAAGGGATCAAGGACTCCATCTCCCTTTAAAATAATATTATTGCTGGCACATTCTGAAATTCAAAGAAACACAAGTCTTCTGGGAGATGTTTAAAGCATGTTGGCATTGATACATCTCTGAAAAACTTTAGTCATCTTCATAACTGAAAGCTTTTTGCCAGGAAAAGATTGTATTTAAGCAATAGCAGGCTTCCATACCATTCAGAGATCTGCTCTTATTTCAGTCCTGGATAAATTCCTAACTAGTTCAGAGCCCAATATTATCAAGCTATGTATTCTGTTCAAGATTCAACCACTGCTCTATTACAAATGTATCTTACTGCTCTTTGCACAGCCATGCACAAAGTCATAAAATGACAGGGGTTTTTTTTTTGTTTAATCATTCTAAAAAAATTCTCAAGTTTTCCTCACTTCAAACTTCTTATATAATTCCATATTTTACAGAAAAAAGCTTTGAAAAATTCTTCACGCTCATGAACTCATCCTATTAAAAGTCTGCCTTCCCACGAATGCAATGATCTCATCAAGAGCAATTTTAAATTTCTTAAGTTTTTACATTAGCCTAATCTGACTCAAAATATTCTCAATTACTTCTCAGGCTATTTTAAAATGTAGGAACAAAAACTGTTTAACTGTCTCTGTAAGTAAAATAAACCTAATGTTATTTAGGTACATGAATCAATGGATTCATTCCAAATTGATGTGGCATCTCCTTTTTTTTACTTAATAAATTTTCTAAATACCACCAATCTCCTCACTGTGTGCACCTCCATTTCTTCCAGCAGCAGCAAACTGAGATCACCTGTAATCAATAAACCACTTCAGCCTAATGAGTCTTTCCCCTTCAGGATTTTCTGGAGTTCATTACAAACTCTCCTTTTCTTAATCTCACCAGATCCTGATACCGACTGCTCTTCTCCTGCATGTGTTCAATAATTTTCTCTGATGTTCATACTCCTTATTCCTCACTATTTCTTTTTGGCAGATTTTTTTCTCTTTGCCTTAATTTACTTTTAGACTGCAAGAACTGAGGACACCACTTCATTCTCTGTACCCTGAGGAGCACAAACCCAAAGCCCTTTCCTCCTGTTGAGCTGATTTCCCTCTTTGACCCACAGCTCGTTATTCTTCACACATTACAGCTCAAATCTCTTCTGATTTCCTCTCATCTAAATAAGCCAACACTTGATAAAAGCACTTTGAACTTGCCCTTTACAACTAAAGAGCATTAAATTACATTTACTTTCATAGTTAAAAAATTCCATTTTCTCCATTTCTGATTTGTTGTAAAGGTTTACCTAGTAATCCAAAAAAACAGATAGAAAATTCAGATACATCACATTCTTTTAAAAAATACCTGGGGAAAGGGAGGAAAACACTTAAAAATGACAAAAAGCATTTTGCAACCTTGCTGTAATATATAATTTTGCTGTTCAAGAAAAATGTAAATAATAAATGATGTGGGAACTAGAAGAGCAAGTGCTTAAGTAGAAGAATTTAACACTGAAGTGAAAAGGTCACAAAAAGGTCAAAGCATACTTTAAAAATGAATCTGTAAAAATAAACCACGTGAAAACACAGGAGAGCTCTCAGAACTGTCCTCCCTGAAGGAAATCCTGAGCAGGGAGTGCCTTGTTCAGTGAGACACTACCTTGGTATTCCTCAGGGTGCTGTTCATAGTCCAAACAAAATGTCAGAAATTTCATGAGCATTCTCTTCTCCACCATGGTCAGCTGTCTGCTGTTGAAGACATCTGCTCTAGAACAAGGCACCTGCAAAGTATTTTTAACCATTTCAGGTACTTTCCATACTCTGAATGTAAAAGCATCAAGCAACAATAGTCTGATAAAATAACAAATATTTCAAATTATTGTTTTCAATTACAGCTATTTTCTTATATATTTATTTCCCCTAATTTCTATTGTAGCTGAAGTTATACAATTTTCCACAATAAGAATATTCAAAAATCTTTTTTTATTTCCCTTCAATTTCCCTTGCATCTCTAATTGGAGAGATCATCACTTGAGTTTGTATTCACTGTGCCAATATCTCCTGTTGCCATTATCACACTGATTTCTATTGTATGTAACAAAGACAAATCAAGTCCATGTCAGACTAAAACCTAAATCTTTGAATTTTGAAATCTTTAAAACCTAAAATCTTTGAATCTTCAAGAATTATCTGCCAATCAGTCATGGCCTCAACATTTAGCCTGAGGTTAAGATTTATGTCAAGGCGCTGGACTGCACAACCTTATTTTAGTTTGGTTTGATTTTATTTTCATATTTCTAGATAACACATACAAACATCTTTTCTTCCAGAAATTAAATTGGAATCATAATTAAGGAAAAAAACACTCAAAAAACCAATTGCAAGCTTCTTGACTTTGAGGAGCTGAGATGCAACACAAACACAAACACGAGTTCCTGGTACCTGCTCCACTCTGCCCTGGCGGAAGGCGAGAACCCGCGTGGCGTTTTTGAACTCGGCGTATCTGCTCACGTTGGACTTGATGAGGAGGTCAATGAACAGGCCCCGGGAGTAGAGCAGCTGCACAGGAGCAGAAAGGAACTGCTGGGTGAAGAGGATCAGTGAAGCACCCAAAAAAATCCTCACCAGCTGCTCCCCAAACCCCCTGAACCAAGAGGCGCCTTTTCCACAGGTCAGTTCCATGACTCCCAAGCTAAAATTGAGTCATATATAATTTAATCATCTTTCTAGAAGCTACAAATATGAAATACAGAAGGGCCAGAAATGTGACTATGAACTGAAAATGTTTGTCTGGATTGAAAAGTCTCATGGTCCTGAGGAACAGCCTTTGCAAGAGCACACAGGGACTTTCTGGATGAAGGTTTCCTGGGCCACCAACAGGACACTGCAGGGCAGCTGATGCTCCCCTGCCAGGGAAAGCCCAGCACAAACTCCCGGCCCTGCCCTGCTGACACTCCTGGGGCTGAATTTCTGGCATTCGCTGCAGTTAACACAAAGTCCCACAGAGCAAAAAAAGGATACAAAACAGCATTATCTGCTTAACCACCACCCACTGACTGGTGCTCAAGATGTCACTGTAAGGATGCTTGGAGTGGGATTCACATCTGGAACATGAAATTTGCAATAATGATTTCACAGTGTCTTCACAAAGAATTGAATGAATTAGTGAAGAGAGTTTCTTTTTTGGTTTCCAAAGGTTTGAAAAATCTTTTTAGGCACAATATGTAAAGTGAAGCATTCAACTTGGAAAAAACTTCCCTGTGCTGTAAAAAACATTTTTTATCTTTTTAAAAAGATAGAGCAATCTGCATGCAGATTGCTCTTTCTTGTTTAAAAATACAAGTTTTTAATGGCACTATTTAAAATGAGACATTTTGCTGGTAATACCCAAGTGCTATATTCCATGACATTTATTTCAAGGCAATATTTCTGAGCTGTGTTTTTTGATCTCTTTGGTTATAAAACACTTAAGGTCACATATTAAATAACTCATGTTTGTTTTAGTGGTAACAATTCTTACTTCTCAAAGAGTGGCTATTTTGCCTCAAAGGTGCTTTAAAACAAATGTCAGCATTTTAAGCAAAGCAAATGTACTTACACAAAATAAAGTCATTCAGTTCCTACCTTAGAAACCAAATCAATATTAAACCTTCTGCCTTCTCTAACAATTTGGGAATAGGTGATTTTCTTTGGTTCTTGGGCAGCATTTTCA